ATGTGCAATTGCCCATTTGACAAAAGGAAGTGTATTATCTAAATAGTGAGAGATTGCAGAGCTCTGAGTTGCAGATACATCTGGATGACCTCGTGCATGAATCACAAAAGGTTAGTAGGCAGGTACAGCAGGTGATTAGGAAAGCTAATAGAATGTTATCATCTATCACAAGGGGAATTGGTTACAAAAGTTTATGCTTAAGTTGTAACAGGCATTGATGAGACCACATCTGGGGTACTGTGCACAGCATTGATTTCTTTATTTTGGGAAGGATGCAAAAGTGTTGGAATCAATTCAGGTAAGGTTTCCCGGACTGATACCTGGAATGAGTGGGTTATTCTAAGAGGAAAAGTTGATCAAGCTAGTCTTTTCTCTACTGCAGTTTGGAAGCATAAGGCGTAACGACTGGAACATATGCAGTCCTGTGGGGTCTTGACAGAGTAGATTTGGAGAGGTGTTTCCACTTACGGGGCAAAAAAATCAGGGGTCACCCATTTAAAATGGGAAGAAGCCGTTTTTTTTCTGAGGGTCACAAGACTTTGGAACTCTCTTCCCAAAAATGGACCTACGTTCTATCCTCCCTAGTAACGTTCTGGGCTAAACTTTTGGTTTCATTTTTGTTATATTTAATCCTAAGACGAGCTATGAATCACCTATGCCATCACTAAGATCGCCTAGTTCAACCATTTTATCAACACTGTCTCACCTCGTAGAGTCAGAGAGTTATACAGCATAGAAACAGACCCTTTGGTCCTTCTTGTGAATGAATGAATGATAATTTACTGTCAATTGTACTCTACAATGAACAACACGGTAAAATACAGTGAAAAGCTATGACTATTGCCGCAACCTGGTACCATTCAAATACTTCAAGAATAAAAATATAAAACTGAAAGTGAGTCCAATTTCGCTGCACCGCCTCCATCATGAGTCCTGAGACCTGAGTTGGCCGATCAATGATACCCATGCCGGATCCACCAACAAAGGAGTCGCCAACCTTAAGGCGCCATCTGTTTGTTGCTGGGTCACATGCTGGACCTAAACTCGCCCCGTAACCAAGAGACCCCAGATTGCTACTGCTGTTGTCTTGCCAACGACCAGGAGAACCCAGCTCCGGGCCTACCACAACCAGGAGCTGCTGCCACTGCCACACTGTCCCTTCTCCAGGGGGGGTACCACAGCCAGGTGTCCCTGGCTCCGCTGCTGCCGCTGTCTCGATGATGCCTGAAGTCCCCACTCTGGGTCAACTGCAATGAGGAGTCCCCAACTCTGCTGTTGCTGCTACCTTGCCAATGCCTGGAGTCCCCAGTCCAGGGTTACCACAATCCGGAGTCCCTAGCTCCGCCGCCCAGGCCAGGCTGCCGCATTGTCAAGACTCTTGCTCTGTCCGCTCCTCTCTGTGATGTCACCCCCATACTGCTGCTAACAAGAAGAAGAAGTAGGAAAAAAAAAACAAAAAGGGTAAGGAAAGAAGGGAGGAAATACCCGCCTGGAGCGGACGGGCCCAGGAGCCTGAACACTGCCTGCTTTGCCAGTACTGCCACCTTAAGCATTCTATCCACATTGACCTGATATCACAAATCATAGGATCTCTACAGTGTAGAAACAGGCCCTTCGCCCCAGCAAGTCCACACCGACTCTCAGAGCCACCCCCCTATAACCCACCTGATCTACACATGCCTGAACACTATGGGCAATTTAGCATGGCCAATCCACCTAGCCTACGCATCTTTGGACTGTGGGAGGAAACCGGAGCACCTGGAGGAAACCCACGCAGACACTGGGAGAATATGCGAACTCCACACAGACAGTTGCCCAAGGGTGGAATCGAACCCAGGTCCCTGGTGCTGTGAAGCAGCAGTGCTAACCGCTGTGCCACCATGCTGCCTAAGGTTGCGGTAGAAATCAGTTAACGAAATGTTAACTCTAATTTCTCTTCACAGATGCTGCCAGACCTGCTGAACTTTTCCAGCAACTCCTGTTTTTGCCACTGAAACCTGTTGTTTACCCTATACTTGACTGTCCTAATCCCAGGCTTGTCTTCCACATTGTACCCTCCATAAATTTATGGTTACCCAAAGCACTGCTACCAATATCTCGACTTGTACAATTTCTGATAACTTTGTCACCTCCGTGCTCATTTGCTAACATTGGGTCCATGTTAAAGAATATCAAAATTTAAAAATTCTCATACATGTTTCAAAACCCTCGATTGCCACGGTCCCTCCTATCTCTGGAATCTCCCCAGCCTCCAAACTCTCTCAGAAACCTGTGTTCCTCTATTTCTGGCTCCTTGAGCATCCTCAATTTTAATTCTTCCACAATTGTTGACTATTCCTTCAGCTGCCAAGGATGTAAGCTCTGGAACTCCATTCCTAAACCTCTTTGCTTCCATGCCTCTCAACGCATTCCATAAAACCTACCTCTTTAATCTCATCTACAGTAATGTCTCCTTTGTGATCAGTAAAATTTTGCTTTAACACTACTGTGGGACATTTTACAATGTTAAAGGTGCTATGTAAATACAAGTTAATTTTAAATTGCACTATCTTTGTTATTTTTACTGGAGGAAGGCAATCTTTACTGACTTTTGACAGTAGAAATTGTAAATTTCCACGGTTGGTAGTTCAAATTGTGATGAAGAGCTCCATTTTTTTTGCTGGATATTGAATAATTTGAAGGTTAGTGCTGTGCTTGATTTTGTGCAAAGAAGGACTGAACATTTAGAGTCTGGAGGGCTATCTCTATACATGTAGCTGTTTAGATAAAATATAATGCAAATTCAGTTTTGTTTATAAGTGTTGGATATGTAATGTAGTTGAAAGTAATTTTTCAAAATATTTTAAATTCCTTGTGAAATTGTTTGGTATACTTACTGATTTGTAAGTGAACTGATTAGTGTGCTAAATTTATATGGAGTCACCAAATCTTATTTGAAATGTAGTTTGAGTGCTGTATTGGAAGGAGTCAATAATTTGCTTTTAGTACTTTAACCACTTCAATTCAATTGTGTAATATTACTTAGTCAAATTATATATAATATTATGGTTGTAATTTGTAGTGCCGATGTATCAATATATGAAATAGGTTTCACATGAACCAAATAAATTAGCATTTACAAATTGTGTGAGCAGGTAACCACTGACCTGCCCATGGATATCCTAAAATGCTTCAAAGCAAATTAGTTTGAATTGTAGTGGCTTTTGTTATGCAGACAAATTCAGTAAAGAGTTTGCATGCAACAAGGTTCCATAAACAACAACAATGATTTAATTTGTTTTGTCAGATGTGGTTGAGGGGTGCATTTTGTCCACAATGTTGGAAGAATTCTTGTTCCCCTCTTTGAATATTGCAATATTATCTTTTATGACTTTCTGGACAGGTAGATAGTATATTAGTTTAATTTCCCACCAATGTTGCTGATAATCTCATCAATCTCACATTTGGCTTAATTATGGATATTTTTACAGCAGCGGAGTTGAAGGGCAACCTTTCATTTGTATGCTATTCATTCAATCAAATCCAGACTTTAAAGTAAAATCTGTTCCACCTTTGTTATTTCAGATTGTGTATGAACAAGATGGAGTATTTATTCATTTGTGCTCTGAAAGAATTGGTGAACAAGATACACTTCCGGGAATACTGAGGTTGATTGATAAGGTATTTCAGCCAATGAATTTGGTTTTCTAGTTATTGCACATCCTTACAATAGAAGACAATTACAATGATTGGGTGAAATTGTGCAACTTTACAAATCTTGAATACATTAAGTTTCTTTCCACAATGCCAAATCCAATAGTGCTGGTTGTAATAATTCCAAAATTTTGCTTTCCATCTTTTTTTTTTTTAATTTTCACTTTTTTTATGCAGCTTTTAATCAGAGAGTCATCAAGAACCAGTTCATTATTTTCACTGAGTAACCTGTATACTTGATGAGAAAACTGCTGAAATCTGAACCCATGTAATGTGGCATTATACCAGTGCATGTTTTGTTGGCATCTTGCCAGCCCTAGACTGCCACTGACTGTTAATCCTCTTAAACATCAATATCCTTGGAGGTGGTTGTGGCTCTTGACAGTCCAGACTGATTCATCATCGATCAGTGATTATTCATAAGTTCATCCACTTGACATGTGTTGCCTCTGCCACCATGCAAATGATTTTTGGCTAAATCAATCTTGGTATAGACGTGCTGCAAAAAAGTCACACGTTGTTTTTAGTTAGAAGGTCACATCCATTTGGAGTGTTCCCTGGAATTAAATTGCATTTCGCATACATTCAGTTGTTTGATGCATTCTCTGGAAGAGAGTGGAGCTTTTATCTGAACATATTTTGTCTATTCTGAAAGATTGCAATGAGTACTTGAAACTATATAAATATTTAATCTAAGGGAGGCTTTGTGCACCCCAGGGTTTGATTCATCTTCATGACTGTGTCCAAACAATCCAAGGACAGTATTCGAATACTGAATTTCAACCTTAGTTTGTTGCCTTTCACCATTTTAGTCAAGTAGCAACTGTTAATTCTGCCAAAGTGTAGGCTGACGTGAAAACTGGCAAAGGATTTGGCAGTGGAAATATGCATCCTGGGACTGAACATAGCATCATTCATTCATTGAATAAGATTGTAGCTACTCTATGGACCAGCCCTGTATACTTTCCTTTGATTCAAAATTTTTGATAGCTTTGGATAACAAGAATTTATCACAAGCTTTATCATGCACCTTATTGGCATTATACTGAAATTTCAGATCTGCTAGGCTGTTTCTCAACTTCTGCCTTCATAGATTTCAGTTTGTATTTAAAAAAATACTCCACTTATTGCTGATTGTTTCCTACTGTCTCCAATTCAGTACAATCTGTCAGTGTTTCCTAGTCTAAATATTTAGATCCTTTTAATGTTGTTTGTGTTCTTTTGGATTACTTATACAGCTAGATAGCTTGAAGTATTCTAAGAATCAGCAGGTGGATTTTCTTCACCATTGGATCATCTGTGATGTGGCAGACATGGATGTACAGGATGTAGTTGGGTTTGGGAGTGATATGTGATGGTGGTGATCGATGTAGATCAATTTGGGGTGTGGTTTATTTGAATACAATAGCTGTACCCAGAGAGATTAACTGGGAAATTTCGTACAAAGTAATCCTGAAGTGAGATTTAAGGAAACCTGTGCAGTTAAAAATAAAGCTTAATATTTAAATATGGTATAGTTTTCCAAAGGTCATGTCAAGGGGAGCATTTTTAAGTAAATTCAGTTCAGATTTGCTTCCATCTCATACTCATTGCAATAGGGAAGAGGCAAGCAACAATAAGCCGGTGGCTTTCTTCTAGTATCTTTGAAAAATAGCAGCCAGCATTTTGAAAACCCATCTGGGTGATCTGTAAGGTAAGTGTTAATTTGCCTTGGAGATTTCAATCCTGAAGTAATTAAAATTCATTGGTAAGTTCAACAGTTACAGAATTGAGATGCAATAAGAACTTGCAGAAGTTAAACGGTAAACAAGAGGAACTATGTGCAAACATTTCACATCTGCACTTCCTGTGATTTATATTTAACATAGAAACTTCCTATGTAGTCATTATAGTACTTTGTAAAGTTATATAAACCCATTTATGTTGGAAAGCCATGTAAAACTTGTGAATTGGTCAAAACGTATTTTGTCTGCATATTTTCACAGTAATTGGAATAATTAAGTTTTTAAACAAATATATATATCACAGCAAAAGTCATTAAATTTAATCTGTTGTGCCGTGCAAAATCTTTATTAAGACTTTAACTTGAAAGCCTCAACCTTTCCCAAAAGCCTAGGCAAGGACTTGATATATTTACCCAAAGCAGGGATGAAAAAGTGGCAAGATTTGGAGGACTGCAGAGATCTCAGAGGGTCTTGGGACTGGCAGTTGTAAGGCCATGGAGGGATTTGAAACCAAACATGTAAATTTTGAAATTGTTCATTTTTGGAATTTGGGCAAATGTAGGTCAGCAAGGATAACTGATGGGTGAATTGATGTGGTGGACAGTTAAACCTGCTCCCCCAGCACAGTACTGATAGAGACCACCTAACAGTTTATATTGATAACATCAGTTTGCTGTTTGTCTTCTAAAGCTGGCAATTTTATATGTCACAAGCCACTCACAGTTGTTACAAAATAATGGAGTGTTGTGGAATGAAATTTGCCAAAACACCAACATATTTGAAAGCCTGTTACTCTTTCACAAAAATGTATTTAATGTATTTGTCAGCAAATCAGTGGCACTAATGTTTTTTCCTATATAAACATTTATATTGTTATAAAATAGTGTGCTCTCTGATTCCCCGTGAACAATATCATTAGTGGCTTGCTTGAGCAGCTTCTCTTAACTAACTTGCTGGCTTTACTTAATAAGTGTCTAAATTGAGAGGATTCTTTCATGGTAGAATTGCTTTCCTATCATCTAAGCTGAATGTTTGTATTAGACTGAATCTACAATACAATCAATTACTGAATGAATTGACAATCATTTCTGGCATAAATGAGTTCATAAATCTTTCTGTCAGGATGTTCTACCATTATCTTTATTCAAATTTAAAGTCAGTTTGGTGCTAAAGTTTTGATATTGGTTAACTAGTTGATGGTGGCTATATTGTATTCTTTGTCTTTCAGGGTACTGGAGCTGTAGTGGATTGGTCACCAGTGGATGACTCTCTGGATCCTTCAAACATTTTTTGTGCAGGCAAGGTAATTTATCCCACAATTAAATGGAATAGTTAGATTTCAATACATTTTTGGTGATGTGAGCAGATTGACAGGAACTGTAACCAGACAATGTTGTTGTTTTATGTGTAGCGACCTTTTATGTGGTGTATACTTGTCCAATGTGATAGTGAGGGTAGCTAATATTAATCCATGCGCCTTCACATGTTTACAGCGGTTTAAAAAGTATTGTGCACCCTAATTGTATGTTATTTCTGCATGTGTGTTTCATGATATAGTTTACTGGTGCACTTTGTTTTGTCAAAACCTGACACACCAAAATTCTAGATAACAAGGTGTAGAGCTGGATGAACACAGCAGGCCAAGCAGCATCAGAGGAGCAGGAAGGCTGACGTTTTGGGCCGAGACCCGTCTTCAGAAATGGGGAGGGGAAGGGGGTTCTGAAATAAATAGGGAGAGAGGGGGAGGCGGATAGAAGATGGATAGAGGAGAAGATAGGTGGAGAGGAGACAGACAGGTCAAAGAGGCAGGGATGGAGCCAGTAAAGGTGAGTGTAGGTGGGGAGGTAGGGAGGAGATACGTCAGTCCAGGGAGGACGGACAGGTCAAGGGGGTGGGATGAGGTTAGTAGGTAGGAGATGAGGGTGGGGCTTGAGGTGGGAGGAGGGGATAGGTGGGAGGAAGGACAGGTTAGGGAGGCGGGGACGAGCTGGGCTGGTTTTGGGATGCGGTAGGGGGAGGAGAGATTTTGAAGCTTGTGAAGTTCACATTGATACCATTGGGCTGCAGGGATCTCAAGCGGAATATGAGTTGCTGTTCCTGCATCCTTCGGGTAGCATCGTTGTGGCACTGCAGGAGGCCCAGGATGGACATGTTGTCTGAGGAATGGGAAGGGAAGTTGAAATGGTTCGCGACTGGGAGGTGCAGTTGTTTATTGCGAACCGAGCGTAGGTGTTCTGCAAAGCGGTCCCCAAGCCTCCGCTTGGTTTCCCCGATGTAGAGGAGGTCACAACGGGAACAGCGGATGCAGTATACCACATTAGCAGATGTGCAGGTGAACATCTGCTTGATGTGGAAAGTCTTCTTGGGGCCTGGGAAGGGGGCGAGGGGGGAGGTGTAGGGGCAGGTGTAACACTTCCTGCGGTTGCAGGGAAAACTGCCGGGTGTGGTGGGGCTGGAG